CTCGTCTCCGCCTGTTGCTATCAGATCTTTGCCCTTGAAGGAGGGCAGACGACTCCGTGCGGAGACATGCTGCGTGCTCATCACTATTAGCAGCTCTTGATTCTCCTTCTCTGTAATGCGTGGCTACCGCTGCTAGCACCAGTCGGAGCGAGCCTTAGACTAGGGATAACTCTACCCTCGCGATCACGATGATGCGGCAAACATCTTATGGGTGATACGGCGCTCGCGACAGGGATGTTATGACATACATGGCATGAGAGATGTTGCAAATACGATATGGATAATATCACGCGCACTGCACGAACGACGCAGTGGACAGGCACTCAGTACTACGAGTGCAACCCTGATGCCCTGAAGCGCACTTGAGGAATCACGAGATGGTGCGGTAAGCAAATTCGAGTCACAGAAAGTTGAGCATGTTGGTAAGGACCTATCAAAATTTAAGTCTACTAGGAAGACTACTCGAAAAGCAGCCCCCGACAAGTTACTGGCGAACCCCCCCAGTTACTTAAGCTGTCGGAGTGAAGCCCGCTGTCATCAAAGTTGACGGCTACTGAATGGCTGTTCAATTCCTTCGATCATCTGTCTGCACCTCTCAAAAGCCAAACCCGCTAAGTGGCCCCCTCTGGTTGAAACACTAAAAACTCTATCCACTAACCGATAGTGGGCCCACTTAAAAGTTCAAAACTATTTAAAGTTGCTTTGAAAATCACGTACGTGGATACTTGGGTAATTAGCTTGTTTGATTGAGAGCGAGACTGAATCAAGAGAGCCAATAGACACACCTAACCAATGAAGTCCACAGCAACCACTCATCGTGACTCACGTACTAGCAGAAAGAAAGAGAGTGAGTGAGTCACAGCGAGCGAACGGCTTGAGACTGAGCGCGCAGGGCGGCTCTAGAGTGAGAGAAAGGGAAGGACAGAAGAGATCGAGTGTGAATAGGGGTGAGTGATAGGCGAAGTGTGCCCGGGCGGGAAATAGGGCCTACAAGGGTAAGATATCTGCTTCGTGTGTTTCCTGACCAGCCATTTGGAACCCAAGCCGATTTCTGCACGGCCTTTTCAGACGCAGACACTGAAGAGCATAGTCAAGACTTCTATTCGATGGACACCTCTGATCAGCTGTTCTAAACACGAATCAATTTCTGCACAGCCTCCCTGCTTCCAGACACAAAAGAGCAAGGAGACAGTCTCTGTTCAAAAGGCACGGCTGTTCGTCTACTCGAAACACTAGTCGTCCTCAGTGTGTTTTGTTTCCAAGCAAATGCGATAATGCAGAACCCGACCCCAGTTTGAAAGGTGCCTCTAATCGGTCAATCGAATCATAAGCTAATCTCCCCACAGTTTCTCTGCATGCCGACAGCAAAGAGCTCTTTATTCCTGAAAGAGACCTCATTGGAGAAATTGTTGTCTTGCTCCAAAACTCAAAAATTGATCGCTAAGCGGAACTTTGTTGTGACGTACGAAATCTGAAAAAGAAACAGACAGTCGACAGCTTGCTCAGTCGAGAGGGC